TTCTGACCATATATTGTCTTCATAGTTGCACATTTGACATTTGAAGAAATATTGTGTCATCAACCTTTCACGATGAGATTTTATGAGTTTCCAATCTTTAAATTGGCACTCTATTCCTCGTGCATGATTATTAAATGTTCTGTGTATCTCTGTCCATATAAAAGAGAAATCGACAATACTGCGGCCTTTGGGCATGCATTCTTGGATACGATTTGTTTCTAAAAAGCCTTTATTATTGATAACGAGATTTTCGTTATCTCGCTATGTACAACTTTTCTATATACATACCTGGTACGTTGCTTTTTATATCTTCGTATTGCATTACTTTGGTACTGATGTTTGAATCCATCTTGTCTGATGATTCCATCGATTCAACAAACTTGATGGATTCATTTTCAATACCATTAGTAAGCTTAGACGCAGACTTACAACCACGCAGATTTTCAACTCGCTGTAGGTTTAGCATTTGTCGCCTAGAAAAAAATAATCATATAATATTTATACGCATTTCAAACGTCATATCAAACATTATATACTCATTATTCCTTTCAATTTTCAAAAGAAAACTTAAAAAAGATACAATCTTGAAAGTGAGAACAGTTTTTTTCTTATTTTATTGTCAACAAATTATCATATACATTACAATATTATGTTGAAAGTAACCTTGAAAAGTAAATATAACCAGTACATGATATACTTTTCTGGCATTATTGTTACGAACCAGCCCACGTCAGAATAGACGCCTCTGGCATTATTATTATCACCAGCCCACGTCAGAATAGACGCCTCTGGCATTATTATTATCACCAGCCCACATTGAAGTATGTCTCTGGCATCAATTACTATTAACTAATTATTACGATTAACTAACTGTGTAACTACTATTTATATAAAGTGTTATTTTCATCAATAAATAAGAAAAAAACTGTTCTTCATATTTTACTTTAATATGTCATGGATGAACTGGCGGTACACGTTTCTTTTTATCGAAATATAAGATTAATTTAAAAAATTTGTTATTTGCTAAAGAAAAATCACAGAAAAAAAAACCGTTAACTTCACTTTCAATATTTTATACAGGGTGTCCCATTTTAAAAGCTCCACTACATTATTTCTTTAGCAAAGCACTTAAGAAAAAAAAGTTTCAAACAAAAGTTGTTTGGTTCGAAGGGGACACAAGATGGTGATATTAGTTTGACCCTGAAGAGTCACTTGAAGGTCACATGAAGATCACCTTGAATTTCTTAAATGGAACACTCTATATATTTTTGCATATTTTTGTACTTTATCTCGAGAGCTTTCCAAAACACTATAATTAAGTATTTTTTTTATTAAGTACTCTTCGAGGTATAAGGCTTGAAATATTTTCTTATTTTTTTATATAAACCATAAAATTTTATATAAACCATAAAATATCTAGAAAAATATTCATTTTTCGATTATCTTACCTTAATACTTTTATGCATAGAACAATGTGAGGAATCAATTGGTGTAAAGAAAACACATAATAGTTTCAAAAAAAATCTGTAATTTGCAATTAACAATTACATATCTTTTCTTCAAAACAACTGTTTTTTATTTACACTAATTGATTCCTCACGTTGTACACAAAATTATTAAGGCAAAATAATCGAAAAATGAATATTCTATTAAATATTTTTTTATTTATGTAGAATTAAGAAATTATTTAAGCCTCATAACTCGAAAAGTGCTCGATGAATTAATACTTTATTACAGTGTTTTGGGAAGCTCTAGAGATGAGCTACAAGAATATGTAAAAATATATAGGGTATTTCATTTTAAAAAATTAAAGTGACCTTCGCGTGACCCTCAAATGAGTCTTCAAGGTCAAACCAATGGTACCATCTTATGGCCCTTTTGAAACCAAACAACTTTTGTCCTAAATATTTGTCTCTCCGGGGCTTGGTTTTCGAGATATTCGACTGAATGGATTAAAATGAACCACCCTGTATATAGTGTGTCCCAAAAGTTCGGCAACGGTCAAATATATCGTAAAATATGAATTTTCTTGAAAAATGTTTCAAACAAAAGTTGTAAGGTTCGGAGGGGGACATAAGATGGTACCATTGGTTTGACCTTGAAGAGTTATTTGAAGGTCACATAAAGGTCACCTTCAATTTCTAAAATGGAACCTACTATTTTTCATTGCATATTCTTGTAGCTTATCTCAAGAACTCTCCAAAACACTATAATTAAGTACCTTTTTGTTAAATATTTTTTGAGTTATAAGGCTTGAAATAATATCTTAATTTTACATAAATCGTAATATATCTAGTAAAATATTCATTTTTCGATTATCTTGCCTTGATACTTTTATGTACAAAATAATGAGAGAAATCAATTGGTGTAAAAAAAAAACACAGTTGTTTAAAAAAAAAAAAATAAATTTGCAATTAACAATTACATATTTTTTCTTTGGAACAACTGTGTGTTTTTTTTACACCAATTGATTTCTCTCATTATTTTGTACATAAAAGTTTTAAGGCAAGATAATCGAAAAATGAATATTTTACTAGATATATTACGATTTATGTAAAATTAAGATATTATTTCAAGCCTCATAACTCGAAAAGTACTTAACGAAAAGGTACTTAATTATAGTGTTTTGGAGAGCTCTTGAGATAAGCTACAAGAATATGCAATGAAAAATAGTAGGTTCCATTTTAGAAATTGGAGGTGACCTTTATGTGACCTTCAAATAACTCTTCAAGGTCAAACCAATGGTACTATCTTATGTCCCCCTCCGAATCCTACAACTTTTGTTTGAAACATTTTTTAAGAAAATTCATATTTTACGATATATTTGACCGTTGCCGAACTTTTAGGACACACTGTATGTATACACACACACACACACGTATATACATACATACATACATACATAGATACATACATACATATATGGACAGAATAGTAATGGTTGCAGCACTTTTATTATAAAATTTAGGATTACAAGTTAGTAATCATATATCGTATATCGATATATTAAATATCGAAACTTGCTTATATACAGAATGTCCCAAAACTCATAATCAATCTTTCAAAGACAGATTCCTGGAATCATCTGAAGACGATTTTTCCTCAATGAAAATGTCGAGGCACTAATAATTTTCGAATTATAAGTGATTGGAATTAAGGGATTTTCCGTAAATTAAGCTTTGCAAAAATAAAATATTAACAAAACCACATTCTTCAATTAATTTTAAATAGAATTTACTTTATATAGTTGAGTTTTAATTAAAGGCTTAATTGCAAAGATATATGATGAAAAAGATAAGGAACACGCAAAAAATGATGGCCTTTATTGACATTTTTGCTGAGGAAAAATCGTCTCCAAATGATACCAGGAATCTGTCTTTGTAAGATTGATTATGAGTTTTGGGACACCCTATATGTATATATATATGTATATATATATATATATATATATATATCTTATGATTTTTAAAAATATTTTTAATTTACAAAATTAAAGTTTTATTAATTAAACTATATATATAATATTAAAAATTATAATTGACTTAATAATTTATATATATTTATGTATAATTATTTTGAGAAGTTCAATTTTTATATATAAATTTACAATATATTGGTAGTTTCTAATAATATTTAAAATAATAGTTTCGAATATTTCTATAATTATGTATTTAATTTGTAAAATAATAAATTGAAAATTATTTATAGTTTATTATTAAATTTTTATACTTTGTGAAAGGACTTTAGAGTTACCTATAATTTATTTTAATTTAATTTTATATCATGGTAATGAGTTGTATTATTTTTTTAATTTTAGAAAGTTTTAGATAGAACATATGTATGATAAAATTATTTTTTTTATGAATTTTATGATTTATAGTAAAAAAATTATATTTCATTACAATCTTTATTTTTTAATAAGATTGATCTTTTTTTTTAAATTTATATTTACGGATTTAATTTGAATTGGAGTAAGTTTTTTATGAAAATTTGATTTTTATTCAAAAAATAATTTTATCATGCATATGTTCTATTTAAAACTTTCTAAAATTAAAAAAATAATACAACTTATTACCATGATATCGAATTATATTAAAACTAATAAAGGTAACTCTAAAGTCCTTTCACAAACTATAAAAATTAAATAATAAACTATAAATACTTCTCAATTTATTATTCTATAAATTAAATATATAATAATAGAAATATTCAAAATTATTATTTCAAATATTGTATTATCAAAACTACCAATATAAATTTATATATAAAAATTAAACTTATAAAAGTAATTATACATAAATATATATAAATTATTAAGTCAATTATAATTTTTAATGTTATACAATTTAATTAATAAAACTTTAATTTTGTTAATTAAAAATAATAAAATATTTTTAAATTAAAAATAATAAGATATTTTTAAAAATTATAAGATATATATTATATATATATATATATATATATATATATATATGCAAGTTTTGATATTTGATATATCGATACACAATATATGATTACTTATTTGTACCTAAATTTTATAATAGAAGTGCAACCATAACTATTCTGCCTACAAGCTTTTATAATTATGCAAAACATACCTTTTTGCCCATCCTTTTTTTCGAGAAAGTCGGAGGCGGGAAGGATATTTGTTTTTTAAATCTTCTTTCATTTCGTATTTATTGCTGTAAGAGAATAAAATTAATAATAAATTTAAAATAATAATTTTTTTGAAATACTGTGTGGGCGATTAAAATTAAACGCCCTGTACATAATTATAATATTTCGTAATATCACAAAAAAAATTAGCAATACTTACGAATAAAATTATACAATTACTGAATTGTCTAATTATACAATGTTGTTCGTTGGCTTCTTCGTCACACGACACATATATATGTTACACGTGACAACGTCGGATCGTGCACGTGATAAGCGAGTGTCCGAAACAAGTGCGAACGTGTCTGGAAGATAACTGCAGTGCGCAGTAATATTCCATCCGTCGCACGATGAATACACGTAAGTACACGCTCGTATAAACATTATATTGCTTTATTAGTAGTACTTTTATCAGTAGATACTTTTTATTAGTATAGAAATTTATTAGCTGTTATAATAGTATCATTAGAAACAGTATAAATAACCACGTAAATTGTAACAATATTTGTTGGTTAAGTACAGTAATAGTAATAAGACAGTAATTAAAAACTATTTTATAAAATAATCTGTTTAATAGACACATATACGTAAATATTAATTAATGTATATTTGTTTCAGGAAGAAGTGAACCAATGGAGAGAGTTAAAAATGTTCTCTCTCCGAAGTCTTGCGAAGTCTGAGATAAATCTCCGCAAATCCACTTATAAGACGGTGCCAAAAGCAACGGCGACGATGCAAAAGGTTACGCAAAAGTCAACGGAGTCAAAGACACCAGAGTCAACTAAATACGACGACGACAATACGACAATGCAAAGAGCTAGTGTTTCAGAGTCGATGTCATCAGGGGCAACGACGTATGAAATAAAGGAAAATATACATACAAATATGAAAGTAAGTAACTGCATATTTAATTATTGCATATTTTTCCTTTTACTGCATGCAGATCATAAACAGATTAACATAGACTGCTCATAAGGTAGCGAAGAGTGTCCTCCTGAGAGAAAAAGATGATAGCATGAAGTTTATTTGTGTTTCTATCTTTTTCTGGTGTACGCGTGTTGCAATTTCAAGTTAAAAGTCAATAACTTGAAATTGCATCACGCATGTGTCAGAAAAAGACAGATACACAAATTAATTAATGCTATCCTTTTCTCTCAGGAGGATATTCTTCGCTACCTTATAAACAATCTATGTAAATATGTCTATGATGCAGGTATAAATAATACTTGGATTTTTAAAATTTGTGAGAAAAGAGAATATGATAGAGAGAATATTATATTAGAGATGTCCAAACTTTTATTAAAATATTGATAGGTATAGTCTCTCAGTTCTAAATATTTAAAAATATAATTAGAATATATTTATTATAATATTTATCTGTTATTATTTGTAATCTGAAAATCTATTGTAATTATAACATTTTTCATTTATTCTTGTAATTCATATTTATTTTTCATTACTAATTTGATATATGACGCTAAGACATTTTATGTTTTTAGACTATAAAAACGTATTTTCTTGTCTTATTCTTGTCTTTCTATTGTCTTATTTTATATTTTATATTTCAGAGAATTAATCAAGTCGTGCGTCGGGAAGTCGCCAAGGAAAGGAAGAAATTAAAAAAAGAAGAATATCAAAGACGCAAAGCGCAATACAGGACACGTATTCCTGCACCACCTGTGTATGTGGCACCATCGCCAATACCATCGTTTTACTACCGAGTTACGCACCATCGGCTTATGCAGCGCCGTTTATGTGCGCACCACCGCCTTTTGCTGCACTGGCTCACCCACAACCACCGCCTTACGGAGCACCGACTCATCCGCAACCACCGCCTTACGGAACGCCTTCGAACGTAATATTTTCTTCTCCTTACGCGCATATGTATAGACCTTTTTAAAATCGATTTTTGCGTTTAAATTTTACTAGAAAAAAATTTTAAATTTCATTTTATGGATTTTTTTATGGATAAACTTTTATTGCTAACATATTTTGATAAAAAAATAATTATTTTTCAGTTGCATTTTTCTTCTAAAATTTACAATTTTGGCTAGTCTTTTAACTTGAAATTGCATCTACAGATTAATCATTTTGACGAATATAAATATGATATAAATCACAATTTTCTTTCAAATAATTTTCTGTCTGACTTGCTGTTCTTTAAACACATATTTAAATTGCGCGATTGTTTCATCTATATGCACGACTTGATTAATTTTCTGAAATACAATAAGAACATACGTTTTTATAGTCTAAAAACATAAAATGTCTTAGCGTCATATATCAAATTAGTAATGAAAAATAAATATGAATTAAAAGAATAAATGAAAAATGTTATAATTACAATAGATGTTCAGATTACAAATAATAACAGATAAATATTATAGTAAATATATTCTAATTATATTTTTAAATATTTAGAACTGAGAGACTATACCTATCAATATTTTAATAAAAGTTTGGACATCTCTAATATAATATTCTCTCTATCATATTCTCTTTTCTCACAAATTTTAAAAATCCAAGTATTATTTATACCTGCATCATAGACATATTTACATAGACTGTTCATAAGATAGCGAAGAATATCCTCCTGAGAGAAAAGGATAGCATTAATTAATTTGTGTTTCTGTCTTTTTCTGACACACATGCGTGATGCAATTTCAAGTTATTGACTTTTAACTTGAAATTGCATCACGCGTACACCAGAAAAAGATAGAAATACAAATAAACTTCATGCTATCATCTTTTTCTCTCAGGAGGACACTCTTCGCTACCTTATGAGCAGTCTATGTTATGTCTATGATCTGCATGCAGTAAAAAGAAAAGTATGCAATAATTAAATATGCAGTTACTTACTTTCATATTTGTATGTACATTTTCTTTTATTTCATACATCGTTTTCTTTTATTTCATACGTCGCCCCTGATGACATCGACTCTGTAACACTAGCTCTTTGCAATCGCCGTCGTATTTAGTTGATGCTGTCTTAGCCTCTTATATGCATACATATGTAAATGTGTATATATGTATTGCTACACATATTTTAGTACTGCCATATGTTGGGTAGCAGAGTCCGCATCGGTGGAACTTTTAAATCTACGCCGATGGGTGCTGGGACTGTCACTTTGGGTGGCAGAGTCCGCATCGGTGGAACTTTTAAAACTACGCCGGTGGGTGCTGGGACTGTCACTCTTGGGTGGCAGAGTCCGCATCGGTGGAACTTTTAAAACTACGCCGGTGGGTGCTGGGACTGTCACTCTTGGGTGGCAGAGTCCGCATCGGTGGAACTTTTAAAACTACGCCGGTGGCAGTACTAAAATATGTGTAGCAATACATATATATTTACATTGTGCTGTATTATCACTAGTACATGTATAAAAAAAAACACAGCCTTTTTCTTATAATCATTAAATTAGCGATTAAATATTTCTATTGTTTTTAGATAAAAGTAAAACAAAATAGTTTGCCTGCATTGATCGCGTTCAGCAGAGAAAATTGTTGTCATATTCTTTCGATGTTCGACGTTGATTGTTAGATTTGAAAGAAACCGATTACGTTGAATTGCTACTAAGCGATTTTTCTCTGCTGAATTCATTCATAATACAATACTATAAAATAGTGATCAAAAGAAAAAGAGAGACGCTAATTCATTTTATTTTAAATAATAGGAACAAATAAAATTTACAAATCAACCTAATGCATTTATATGTATAATTCGAGTCAACTTATAATAAACTTATAATAAATATAGTAAAAGAGAATAAATGGTGACATAATGCAGGAAAAGTGCAACTGAAAGAAACATACATAAAACAAGATTATTCATAAAAAAAAGTCATTGATATTTAGATGATGATCTTTGGGATCATGATCTTAAGAATTAATAATAATATTAGTTTATAATTATATAACTAAACAGAATAAAAGATTTAGTACGAATATTAAATAAATGAAGCACTTCTTCCTTTTCTGTAAAAAAAAGAAGAAATGAAAAAGAAGAATTTCATGAAAAAATGAATGTTGAAAAAACTACAAAGTATTGTATGCGATATTATGTTTAGTTTCATTACCGTATAAATTTTTATTTTCGTTTCATTACTTTATTAAATTTTTATTTTGATATTTGTCATTTCTCCATTATCTGTATGATTTAAATATAATTTTTACTGTGCCATATATAAAATGTTTATTTTTTCATAATAAAGATTTAGATAAGTTATTATAAGTAATTATTACTTATAATATTTTGCAGTCCTTTTGTTTTCTTTAAAAATTCTAAATCTTTATTATGAAAAAATAAACATTTTATATATGGCTGGTATTTAATGTACGGTGCGTTATTCTGTACAAGTACAATAAAAATTATATTTAATTTTATAAGTAATTATAAGTTATATAAATAAGTAATTTTACGTTATTATAAGTAATTATATAATAATTACTTATAATAACTCACAATATAATACTTTGCAGTCTTTTTGTTTTCTTTAAAATTCTAAATCTTCATTATGAAAAAATAAACATTTTATATATGGCTAGTGTTTAATGTACTATGCGTTATTTTGTACAAATACAGTAAAAATTATATTTAATTTTATAAATAATTATAAGTTATATAAATAAGTAATTGTAAGTTATTATAAGTAATTATATAATTACTTATAATAATGTATAATATTTTGCAGTCTTTTTGTTTTCTTTAAAAATTCTAAATCTTCATTATGAAAAAATAAACATTTTTATGGCTAGTGTTTAATGTACGATGCGTTATTTTGTACAAATACAGTAAAAATTATATTTAATTTATAAATAATTATAAGTTATATAAATAAGTAATTGTAAGTTATTATAAGTAATTATATAATTACTTATAATAATGTATAATATTTTGCAGTCTTTTTGTTTTCTTTAAAAATTCTAAATCTTCATTATGAAAAAAATAAACTTTTTATATATGGTTAGTGTTTAATGTAGAGTGTTATTCTGTACAAGTACAGTAAAAATTGTGTTTAATTTTATAAGTAATTATAAGTTATATAAATAAGTAGTTATAAGTTTTTATAAGTAATATAATAATTACTTATAAATAATAACTTATATACTGGTACTAATATACAATAACAACTTTGTATATATTGAAATATATGCATATATATAATATATGAATAAATATATTGTGTAAATAATTATAAAGATACACAAAGCATATTCTTTTCTCCCTATCTTTGTCTCCATATCTCCTAAATATAAAAACACTCCTCAATATAGAAACACTAATATTATTAATAATAATTAAAATATTTTGAAAAAAAATAAAAATAGTATAATAATAATTATAATTATTCTTTCATGTTTATGTTAAATATTATTTATTAAAATTAATGCTTTTTCATTTCAATTTCATCCTTATGTTATATATTATTTATTAAAATTAATGTTTTTTCATTTTCAAATTCAAGTTTATATTAAATATTATTATTTAAATTATTGTTTTTTCATTTTCAAATTTTTCTTTATGTTAAATATTATTTAAAATTAAAATATACTTATTCAAAATATTCTTATTATCAATTAAAATATACTTATTTTTCAAATGTAGAACTACGTTCAATTATATGTGCATACGTATATACAAGATCACAAGTGATGTATTGATTTATGTCGATTGTTGTGAACAAATAATCTAGTTGTTTATTGTTCAATATAACTTATACAAATAGAGAGAGAGAGATGGAGATGGAGATGGAACATCTTCTATCGTAATATCCTGGAACTAATTTGTTGCTATTTTTTACTCCACTTTACCTACACTCACGCATACATACACACGAATCGTTCTACATACTATACTTTTATATTTAACTTCTAATTTCGATTTCAAAGGTTCAACAATGTTTTTTCGTATAATTCGATCCAAGCAAACTTGTTTTTACGTTCATACAAACTATATAGCTTTTATATGAAGTACATATTATGACGAGTTGACAGTTCGTCTACAATTCGAGACGCCATATTAGGATAAAATGGATAAGGAAAACTGTAATTTTATAATTATTTCTCGTTTTTCATATAAAATCGGAGTTTCCTAGGATTATTTATGTATGTATTGCAATCCTACATAAATATTTTCAATTCTGGTCAAATTATTGCGACAAAAGACCAGAACTACGAAAATGGTAATTTTGTCGATAATACAGTCGAGTACAGCATCCCCTTAACTGCGTATCTCGCAATTTCCTCCGAGCGTACTCGAAGTCGATAACCAGAAATAAGACGCGCCATTAGTTACGCAATAAGCGAAAAGATATTAGTTTCGCGAGGAGAGATCTCGCATACGATTGGCGGACGATACCGGCGAAGTTCGATAGCCGGCGGCGGTCGGAGATTTTTCCGCCTTTTTCTGCGACGCTTGCACTTAAATTTTTCTGGCAATCGGGGCGATGTGACAATGTCGTGTCACACCCCCCGATACCTTCAACAGCGTGAGAATTAATTATCTTCTCGGACCAAGGTACTAAGGAAGGCGGGCGACAGTCCCGCACCGTGCCTCCTTCGATAGCGCAATATTTGCCAGGAATTTCCTGACCTCAGATCTCGATACTTAGAATCGTGCGATACCCGCACACCGCGACAATTTCGAGGAATTAAGTTTCTTTTTGAGAGACGAACAACTTGCACGCACACAATGGACGCGACAATAATACGCCGTTTCACGCAATATTCACGAACGACGACGATACTACACGGAGACTCATTAATCACGACCAATTACGTTCCACAGACTCGCTCTGAGACATATTTCAGAGGTGCGAGACGCGGCTTCGACAACCAAACGACAGCCCGTGCGAACTACGCATCGCTCGGCGATTTACGACGCACGCGGTCGATACCCAACGGTCGAATGCTACGCGTATTACGCACCCTGACACCCGGAGAGAGACGAGAATTACCCTACGATACGCACTTCCGTCGCCAGTGTCCGCGCTTCCTCGGTCGCTTTATCTCCGGTCGCCCGAAATCACAAAATTCAACCGACTCAGCAGAAGGCTCGAGCGGTCGCGATAAACACCGTAAAGCGACGGCGATAGAACGGCCGGCGAGCGGACACAATTAATTACGCGGTGCACAATAATTCGTGGGCAACCTCACGACGGAGCTCCTCCTATCTGCGGGGATGATCTCGGCCTCGTCCTCGGTGGTTCGTCTCGTCCCAAGCGCACAAACATAAGACCAATACTTGTGGACTGTTTCAGTCGAGCGGTCGCGACAAAGTGATCCCTGGATCTCGCGATCCAGGGTCGATAGCGGGTCGCTGGCCGCGCAGGGGGATGCGCGGACCCCGGCCAATTAGCGGCCGAACGCGCGAGGTCCTGGCGCCTCGCGCGCCACGCGAGGTATTTGCGCCCCGTGCGAAATAGCGCCAAGCTTGAACGCTGCCGCGGGCCCTTGTTCGGCCCGGGTCCTTTCCTCGCCGATCCTCTCTTGGAGGATGGTTGTCGTATCGGCTGGTCGTTCCCGGCTGTCGAGGAGAGACAATGCTGCTCTCTCTGTTCGGATTTCTGATGCCGGGTTCTCGGGGTCAGGCTCCTCCGTTCTTCCGAATTTCCCTCGGCTGTCGTGTTTAGCGGTGCGCGGGAGGCGATGCTGCTTCTCTTTCTGTTTCGGTGGTGAGGTGCCTCAATCCAGGCTCGACACAAATAAAATACAAAAAAAAGAATTAATATTACACGCAATTATACCATTCGCTCGTCTCTCCGGGGAGTACGGTAACTCTCTCTCTCTCTTGACCTTTGGCGCGGCCACTCGGCTCGCGCCCCGTCAAAATTGCCGGGGCGGATAGACGCGACGGGACGGCCACGTCACAAATATATATGTATATATGCATATACGTAAGTGTGCATATATTCTTTTTAACTTAATAAGTTTATTTATTAAAAGAATTATTTATAATGTATACGTAATAATGCTAATGAACTTTAATAATTGAATAATTATTAATAATATTCCTATGCATATATTTTGCATCTTTTTTATTTATGTATATGTTTATTTTGTTTAAAGTTTGACTTGTGAAAATAAATTAAGACATTTTTATTCATTACATTAATAAAAATTGAAGGAACAGCTTTATGCATGCTATATGCTCGGTGCTATGTTATTTTTCGAGTGCGCCTTTGGTCTTGAGACGGGTCCGCATTTCGGGTATAGGGGAGATATTTTAACCAAA